TTGGCCCCTCTGAGCCCCTAATTTGAGGGGTCAGCCCCTTTTTCTTGATATCAAATTAAAGGTCTTGTGATTTTGAAGATTTTTTGTTCAACACTTATTCAGAGATTTCTATTCGTTGTGGAGATATGCTCAATGAAAATATTTAGGGGCTACTCCTACAAGTCCTTAATGGGGCCGTTTTACAAAAATTCAAAGTATGCATATTGCTTAGAACATTATTCTGACCATCTTTTGTTCAATACTGCTTATCAAAATATTCCCCCTTTTCGAGATATAAAGCGTCAAAGATGTGACATTCCGGCCCCTTGTGACCCCTAATTACGTAACATATTATCAAAATAGTATCATATATTGTTGCAAATCGTTAAGATAAATACTTTTGCTTCAGTAATGTATAACAAAATATTGATCATAAGAGAGTTATAGATAAAAGACTTTTGGCCCCTCTGAGCCCCTAATTTGAGGGGTCAGCCCCTTTTTCTTGATATCAAATGAAAGGTCTTGTGATTTTGAAGATTTTTTGTGCAACACTTATTCAGAGATTTCTATTCGTTGTGGAGATATGCTCAATGAAAATATTTAGGGGCCACTCCTACAAGTCCTTAATGGGGCCATTTTACAAAAATTCAAAGTATGCATATTGTTTAGAACATTATTCTGACCATCTTTTGTTCAATATTGCTTATCAAGATATTCTCCCTTTTCGAGATATAAAGCATCAAAGATGTGACATTCTGGCCCCTTGTGACCCCTAATTACGTAATATATGATAAAAATATTATCATATATTGTTGCAAATCGTTAAGATAAATACTTTTGCTTCAGTAATGTATAACAAAATATTGATCATAAGAGAGTTATAGATAAAAGACTTTTGGCCCCTCTGAGCCCCTAATTTGAGGGGTCAGCCCCTTTTTCTTGATATCAAATGAAAGGTCTTGTGATTTTGAAGATTTTTTGTGCAACACTTATTCAGAGATTTCTATTCGTTGTGGAGATATGCTCAATGAAAATATTTAGGGGCCACTCCTACAAGTCCTTAATGGGGCCATTTTACAAAAATTCAAAGTATGCATATTGTTTAGAACATTATTCTGACCATCTTTTGTTCAATATTGCTTATCAAGATATTCTCCCTTTTCGAGATATAAAGCATCAAAGATGTGACATTCTGGCCCCTTGTGACCCCTAATTACGTAACATATGATAAAAATATTATCATATATTGTTGCAAATCGTTAAGATAAATACTTTTGCTTCAGTAATGTATAACAAAATATTGATCATAAGAGAGTTATAGATAAAAGACTTTTGGCCCCTCTGAGCCCCTAATTTGAAGGGTCAGTCCCTTTTTCTTGATATCAAATTAAAGGTCTTGTGATTTTGAAGATTTTTTGTTCAACACTTATTCAGAGATTTCTATTCGTTGTGGAGATATGCTCAATGAAAATATTTAGGGGCCACTCCTACAAGTCCTTAATGGGGCCATTTTACAAAAATTCAAAGTATGCATATTGTTTAGAACATTATTCTGACCATCTTTTGTTCAATACTGCTTATCAAAATATTCCCCCTTTTCGAGATATAAAGCGTCAAAGATGTGACATTCCGGCCCCTTGTGACCCCTAATTACGTAATATATGATAAAAATATTATCATATATTGTTGCAAATCGTTACGATAAATACTTTTGCTTCAGTAATGTATAACAAAATATTGATCATAAGAGAGTTATAGATAAAAGACTTTTGGCCCCTCTGAGCCCCTAATTTGAGGGGTCAGCCCCTTTTTCTTGATATCAAATGAAAGGTCTTGGGATTTTGAAGATTTTTTGTGCAACACTTATTCAGAGATTTCTATTCGTTGTGGAGATATGCTCAATGAAAATATTTAGGGGCCACTCCTACAAGTCCTTAATGGGGCCATTTTACAAAAATTCAAAGTATGCATATTGTTTAGAACATTATTCTGACCATTTTTTGTTCAATATTGCTTATCAAGATATTCTCCCTTTTCGAGATATAAAGCATCAAAGATGTGACATTCTGGCCCCTTGTGACCCCTAATTACGTAACATATGATAAAAATATTATCATAAATTATTGCAAATCGTTACGATAAATACTTTTGCTTCAGTAATGTATAACAAAATATTGATCATAAGAGAGTTATAGATAAAAGACTTTTGGCCCCTCTGAGCCCCTAATTTGAAGGGTCAGCCCCTTTTTCTTGATATCAAATTAAAGGTCTTGTGATTTTGAAGATTTTTGGTTCAACACTTATTCAGAGATTTCTATTCGTTGTGGAGATATGCTCAATGAAAACATTTAAGGGCCACTCCTACAAGTCCTTAATGGGGCCATTTTACAAAAATTCAAAGTATGCATATTGTTTAGAACATTATTCTGACCGTCTTTTGTTCAATAATGCTTAACAAAATATTCCCCCTTTTCGAGATATAAAGCGTCAAAGATGTGACATTCTGGCCCCTTGTGACCCCTAATTACGCAAGATATGCTTAAAAGTTTATAATATATTGTTCCAAATGGTTTAAAATTTAAAAATATCGAAAAATCGAGCAGAAAAAATGATAAAATTTTTTGGTCACATGGGGGATCGCACCCGGGTCGCCCGCGTGATAATCCAACGCGCTAACCATTTAGCCATTGAGATCGCTGCTTCGCGTTTTCAAATGCATATATCTCGAGATTGGCTTTTTCGATTTTCAAACAAATTACATATTTCGCTTCTGCGAAAGCGTCTCTATTCAATTCAAAAACAAAAATTTAAAAAAACAAAAGTAGAAAAATTGCGTTTTTTAAATTCGCTTCCGGTAGCGACCGGAAGTATAGACGACGCACGAAAAGGCGATTCTGCAACGCTATGAATGATGAACTATCATCTCCGATTAGTCTTAATTTCATATCTGAAGCAGTTTTCGCTACTAAGTTAAGACAAAATTGCATTTTAAAATCAGAAAATTGTCTATATCTCGCGACCGGAAGTGATGTCACAAAAACGTTTAAAAACCTATCAAGATCAATTGATGATCTATTACATATTAAAATTTCATGTAAATCGACCGAGCCGTTTCTGAGAAATCGCGTGCACAAAATCGGTTGGAAGAATAATAATAATAATAGGGAAAAAGAAACCGAACGAAAACAATAAGGTCTTCCGTTGGAAACGGAAGACCTTAACTAGAGCAAAGCTCGTTGCAAAGCAACGAGTAGGTCTTCCGTCCTGTTTGATCAGAAGTAACTTTTATTTTTAAAAAAAGAGAAATGACGTATCTTATGATTTAAAGTTTCTAACTGTATGTTGAAAATTGCAAAGGTAAGCCATTTCTGCTACTTCCTGTTCGACTGGAAGTGACATCGACGGACGGAAAATAAGTCTTATGCTGCCAGTGACAAATATTTAACCAAAACGTGTCAAGAACGGCAAAAATATGCATTTTCTGACTACTTCCATTTTAGCCAGAATTGACGTCAAAGGACGTATTTTGATGATCTTAATAGATGCTACTAGAGATTTTGAACGACTTTGTTTCTTTGATGTATAACAAATCCTCAATACTTTTTGAGATATCTGGAAAAAAATTTTGGCCCCTCTATTTGCTAGTAACTTTTAGTGTTTATACGACTGTACATGGTCATTTTGTGCATCAGCGTTCGGCATTTCGGGGAATATGACTATAAACATCTGCATGAGCTGATAACATGGATAAGCGTGAAAAAAAAATTTATGTATGACTACATCAAGTTTGACCAGAAGTGCAAAAACCTGTTTGCATGATGGAATTATTTTAATATTATGTAGTATGTCAATTGTAGCTGCTTTCGGTTTGACCAAGAGTAGCCTAAAGCGACGATATCAACTCACTTAAAATGGAGTTAGTATATCCTTTGTAAATTTAGATTTTAGTTTCATTCCAAAGTCTTTGAAAATAAGGCATTTTCGCCCACTTCTTGTGTCGTCGGAAGTGGCAGTATTTGATGATTATAGAAAGAGTTACTTGCTGTTACTTTTCTTTTAAACAACTTTTCTTCTTTAACGTATCAACTTTCACAATAGATTTTGAAGTTTTGTAAAAACACTTTCAACGTCTGTTAGATTAGATAACAAATTTTAGGGACCAGAAACATTCTAACAGGTTCTTACATGTCATTTTTGACAATTCTGGTTATTGATATATCACGAATTCTCAATAGTGATATTGTAAAAAAGAAATCTTAAACCCTTCTAAATACCGGTAACTTACTTTAGGGACCAGCCCCAATTTCCTTAAATAAATTGATGAACCTTGGTATTCCGCACAACTTATGCAATGTACTAGTGTGTTTTAACAAAATATATACAATTTAGACACAATGTGCTAGAATTTTTTTAATTTAATATACTACTGTACATGGACATATTGTGCATCGGTGTTCGGCATTTTGGGGAATATAACTACTGTAAATCACTTTTTATTCGCGAGAACTTTATTTTCGCGTAATTACGCGAGACGGTAAGCTCGCTAAAATTTCATTGTCGTGTTTAATAGAATTACTTAAGATTATATAGAGCAATGACCACAATTCGTGAACATTTTGTCTCGCTAATAAAGTGTCAATGACTATCTAGCGAAAATAAGGGTTCGCGAAAATTAAGTGATCTACAGTATAAACATCTGCATGTATTGGCATATAAACGCTTAGAAATATTAACTACCTAGTATGTCAAGTGCTTGATAAAAAAATCAGAAAATTTACCTTTCAAGTACCACTTAATCACAAAAATCCCTAACTAAATAAGTGATGTCATCATTATATAAAAATTAGATACTCAAAAAATTTGTTGTTTTCCCAGACCTGAAAGTTTTATGACAGTCGAACAAACCGCTTCTGAGAAATTGCTAGCTCAAAATCGCTCGGAAATAAAACTAATTCTCCAGTTGCCAGTACTTTGTTCATATGTGTGTTGTTTGACTATGCAGAAGCATCATATAACTGTCTTCATTCTGCAGATATTTTCACAGTCAGTGCTTCATGATAGCTGTAATATGTTGGAAGAGGAGCTATATTAATCTGGTATTTCTGAAATCCATACACATAAACATGGTCAATGATTGTTCTTCCCTCTGTGGTAGGAAAAGTAACCAATTGTTGGAATCCGCGTTCTCTCATGAAATCTTGAATTCGTCCTTGTTCAGATGCATCTTCATTGAAGTCCCCCAAAATGAAGCTGTTTTCGTAATTGCGTATAATCCTGTCTGTAAGCTGTACAAAAGATGATAAGAAAAGATCTTTGGTAAGAAAACCAGGCCTATATACTGTAAAAACTGCTATGTTTCCCTTCAAAACAGTTCCAACAACTTCAATGTTTCTAACAGAGACATCAATTTGTGCAGCCTCTTCATCCTTTTGGATAAACATACCAACTCCTCCCCCTTTTGAATTTTTTATCTTTGTCAAAAGTTCAGAAGATTCGTCATAGGAATCCTTTCGAACTGCATACACAAAGTCAAAGTCTTGCATCGAGAATTGATCAGATGATTTTCCATGCAACCAGGTTTCAGTCAAGCAGATCACACACGCATTTAGAAATCTTTTATCTGCCTGCATCTCCTCAAAATGTGCCGGCAAGCTTTGAATGTTGTGCAAAATAATAGTTTTGCAATCAGATTCATCAAGGTCTGTCTTAGTTTGGAAAAGCCTTGGCATATCAGATATTGCATGTTTCACGTCAGGATCAGCATATATTTTCTTAAAGAAGATATCAGAAATATTCTCTTGTGATGTCTCGATATGCAATCCACTTTTTGTTGTAACCCGACTCAGAGCCACGTACGCTTGTCCAGGAGAAAACATTCTGTCCAAGTTCACTACAATTTGGCTTGTCGTCATACCTTGCACTTTATGGGCTGTACAAGCCCATGATAACTGTAAGGGAAATTGGTGTCTTACCACATTTTTAGCATGTTTCTCCTTTATTTCTTCATCAATTCTCTCTATACTGACCAGCACACGACCACAGGCAAGTTTTTTGCCCCGCTTTTTTCCAACATTGTTGTTATCGAAAATAACCCCAATTTTACTGACGTCACTTCGCAATGTTTTGTTTGAGAAATATACTTCAGAAACGACTCCCATAACACCATTTACAAGACCGTCATCAACATCAATATTTCGGGTGAGCATAACTCTAGCATTTACAACTAATATAATAGACGATGGAAGTCCTTCTGATCTCTTTTTGCATAGAGGATTCTCTCGTAAAGATAATTTTCCTGATGTCTTGTCCTTTTGATAGTCCTTTGCTTTAATCTCCACAAGGTCTTGACAATTCCTTTTTAGCATTGAAAGATCGTGGTCATTTACTTCCTCATTTGTAGCATATACGCGTAATGCATCATCTGGTCCCTCATTAACACATTCTTTTAACGTCTTTTCTACATAAGATTCAAAGTGTTCTTTGTTTGCTCTCACTCGTAAAACATTTAACACCTCGGCAAAATCTGCATCTTCACGTTGTCTCATTATTTCATTTAGCTCAACAACTTTGAACAATTCCTTCCAGTAATCAACAGGATATGTAGCACACTCGTTGTACAGTCGTTCATTTTTCCTCTGTTTAACTGGAGGTAATTGAAAGAAATCTCCGACAGCAATTATTGAGACACCGCCAAATGGGAGTTTGGATTTCTTGATTTGTACTAAACGCTCATGAACATAGTAAAGTAAACGCTTGTAAACCATTGAAATTTCGTCAATGACTAAAATCTGCAAATCCTCTAATTTGGATCTTATCGGACTTAAACGTTGTTCTTGTAATGGTTCGTAGGGAATTGGTAGATACTTTGTAAGAGCAAAAGCATGATGTATTGTCGATCCTCCTATGTTAAAGGCAGCAGTTCCAGTAAGAGCTGTTAAGAGAATTGGAATACTTTCTGGATTTTTCTGCATTCGTGAAAATACTCTACATGCCTCATATTCAATTGTTTTTATCACGTGGCTTTTCCCTGTGCCAGCTCCTCCAGTAATGAAAACATGAAAGGGTTCTGGATTTTCTCCATTGTATTTCTGAAGACTCCATTCCCTAACAAAATAAAATATTTCTCTTTGGGTTCCATTTAAAGTGCGAAGCAATGGCAACATATTTTGGCGTGATTGAGCAGTTGACTGGATTTTATACAAAACATCTGCATTATGTACAGTATCCTGCAAATCTGGAACATCCTCTTCTTGCATTTGTTCGTCCTGAATTTGGGATTTTTTGGACATACAGGTTCTTCTATTTCCTTCAGCCTCGGGACAAAGTAATGACCATGCATCTTCTGGTTCTCCAATAGCTTCATATGTTTCTTGTGCTTGATCTAGTACTTCTTCATTCTTGCAGTATATTTGGCGGTTTCTTTCCACGATATCCCTTACTCGTTGTAGTGATCTTGTATATTTCAATCGCACATGCCCGGTATCATAAAACGTTTGATACAAATCATATCCAGGTGGTTTGAGGATTTCTGGTTTCCAATATGGTAAGAAAAGCTGAAGAATAGATTGGTAAAACTTTTCAGGCATTTTTTCTTTGTTGAATCTTGCAAACCTAACAATAGCAGAATTTGTTCTTGTTCTCTTTTGTATAAAACCTTTTCCATTCTGTAATTCAAAAACTCCATCTCTACTGTTTGATGGAACTTGAGATTTTGCAAGTACCCTGTATTCAGCACAAAATGTCGCAAGGCACATATCATCAAACTCTTTGTTCTTTGGGCGGTTTTCATATCTTTCAACAATATTAGTCATCCAAATATCATCATCGTCTTCTTCGTTATTGTCACCTGTTGTTTTGTTTCTTTTCATTTGATGCAAAGGTTTGCTTAATCTTGTAGGATTTTCACCAACAGGAATAAACGTTACCTTTCTTGAACATTCCTTCATTTTCAAATTGCAAACACGATAGACTGCTTCCTGTGCACTCACTTCTCTATGGTGCAAGTAAGACGATCCAATTTTTTTCATAGTCTGTCGTGCACTTAAGTTGCCTTCCTCAGCTTCAATCTTTGTTTGTTTCAGAAGCATGCCCATTTCTCGCTCTGATTTTGATATGTACGAGATAATATAAACAATGCAACTGAAAGGGTCTAGGACATACTGAATATCTAAATTAGCATCCCAGCATTTTAAAAGACATGGGTTGTACTGATTTGTCCACATTTCAGAAGGTTCTCTTTGTAATATTATTGTTTGCTTTGAAGTGACTCTATTGTATGCTTCTTCAAATATTTCCTGAGACATTCCCAATTCGATAAATGTGTCATTTGTAGTATCTGTTGATGACACTTGGACTTTCTCCCATACTTTTTGCATGATTTCTTTTGCATCATTTCTGTGCAGTGACACGTTTTCAACACTATCGTCCTCTGTCTCCATTTGATTGTCTCGAGGCTTGGTTATGAAAGTTTTTTCTGACGGTGGCCTTGGAAAATTGAAACGACATTCAGTGCCTTTTTTCCTGCAAGATTGGGAATGCTTTTTGCTGTGCTGTTGTACATCTAAAACAATTTTTCGCAATTCGGAATCTTCATCCTCTGATGGTATTTTACATGTGACATACTTGTCAATAAAATCACAAACAGCCTTCTCTCCATCTTGCTCAAGCTTAGGTGCTCCTTCTATCCAAAACAAGCAGTGCATATGAGGGGAACCCCTTTGCTGAAATTCTACTCTTTGAAAGTAATCAACAACTTTTCCAATAGGTTCTGATGGAGACATTATGACATCCCTTAGAAAGACATGAAATCTGTATTCAAACATTCTATCAACTGTCACAGGGTTACTTCTCAATACGTCACTTTTCTCTGACCAGTCAAGATTTTCTGCTCTTCTGTCATCATTTTGTTGGCGCAAAATAGCTTCAACTGTTGCATTCCATCTAAACTCTGCAGCAGAGAAAGAACAGAACCATGTAGGGATACCTATTTGTCGCAACATTGCAAAAAGATCCTTTTGTGCTGCTTGCCAATATGATGGAGTACCTCGAATAGGCTGCATAAATCGCAATGCTTCATCACTTCGAAATAATGATGCCAACTTTTCAGCATCTTGCAACATTTCTGGGGTTACCTTTTGTCCCGAAGATGTCTTAGAAGAAGATTTTCTTACAGATATTTGTGTTTTCTCTATCACTTGATTAAGTTCCGACATGTACTGAGAGAAGAATAAATAATTTGAATCCATTGCAAATCTATTGTCAGCATTCATAAGTCTGTTGTGGAAGTATCTACTTAGTGTGATTTTGATTTATCTGTTCTCATTCCAGGTATTTTTTCCATAAGGAAATAGACAAGGAAATGTTTTTGCTTCATTGCCTTCTTCTTGTAGCATTTTCACTGGATTTTTACCCTCCCCTGGAGCTAAATTAAATACATCATCAAAATAATGATCCAAAACTTCCTGAACTACGTCAACTGGTTGTAAACATGTGTCTAAAGCTATTGATGTTGTCTGAGATTGCACATCTTCAACTTCCGTCTCAATATTTTCTGTTGTTTCCAATGAGGTGTCCTCCTCTATAATGTAATCATCACTGGTCGACTTTTCCCAGTTCGTGTTCAATTTTACATCTTTGTACCAGTCGTTGTTTTTTATTAAGAAGTCCAGTGCTTTAACAACTTGATGGGGATTCACAAATTGATATTCTTGATAACCTTTGTAGGAGAGTTTCCTTTTCAATTTAACCCTTAATAGCATGGTTTCATCTGCTGTTCGAGGTAAGCTCGTCGCTTTGTTTAAATCTGCGGGTACACAAACGACTGGTCCATGATTATTTTTCTGTCTCCCTTGTGGTAAATTCATTACTTTCATGAATGGAATGTGTAAAGAAACAAGCTGTTTCTCAAGGCTGTTCAGATCATTCAACTCCGCAGGTACAGTTTGAACTTTCATTTTATTAATTGCTGCCTCCGCAGGAATTTTCCCTGATAGTATTTTACGATGACAAGTTTTACAAATCCATAGGGATGATCTTGTGCAATGCTGAGGACAGTTTACAGTGCATTTGTGCAAATAATCCTTCTGCACACATATTTCAGCTAATTCTTTAGCGCATTCTCTACTTTCATATAAATTGCAATCAAAACTGTGAACTTGATTAACAAATAATGTGCGCTGACAACAACAACAAACATACTCTGGACTATAACTTGATTTCTGCTTGAACAATTCTATTACTTCTGAAAAATGTTGAAGTTTAAGAATAGATTCCCGTCTTTTCTCTGTCACCTTGTTTTTTCTGTCCTCCCTTATTTTTTGGTCACTGCTGTATTTCATTCTACAAGAATCTAGAATTTTTTTCCTATATTGAGGATCTTTGTATCTTTCAGCACTATTGACTTTTACTTTGTTTCTGTGCAATGCATTGGTATGATATTTTCTGACACTGTTCTGCTTAACACGTTCTCTATGCAGAGCATTCGTTTTGTATTTGTAAATGCTAGCCTCCTTCAAAAATTCTCTGTGGTCTTGATTCATTTTGTATTTTCTTTTACTTGATTGTTTCAAATTTTCTCTGTGCACAGCATTGGTTTTATATCTTTGGATGCTTTGTTGTTTTTTCTTTGTCCGGTACTTCAAATTTCCAAAATATTTCTCCCTTTTGAGTTTATTCAAAGTTTCTTTAATGTGTTGGCATTTTACATTCTTTTGGTATTTCTGCTTAGAACGACGATTAACACTGTGTCTGAGTTTAGTGTCTTCTTGATAACGGTTCCTATTATGTTTCAAAATCTGTCTTCTAGTTTCTGGATGGTTCATGTACTTTAATTTCTTTTTTTCTAGACGCTCTCTGCATTTGTGGTCAAGCATTTTACTTTTTCTGATCAGTCTTTTCTAATTTTCATCAATCTTAGATGATGAACGTTTGCAGAGTTCTCTCTTCTGTTGTGAAATGACAAAATTATAATGGTTTTCATCTTTGTGTTGTAGATAAACTGATCCTCTGTTCTTAGATCCCAATTCTACTTGTTGCCCGGTATATCGCAACCATCGGCCTTGTGAAAATGTGTAAATGTCAACTTGCAACATGTGAGCTACAGCTATGATTTCTAATTCAGTGGCCCATACTCCATTCTGAAACATTTTTGACATTTGGAGATACGAACTTATAGTATGACTGGTATTTCTTTGAAAGCTTTTGAAGATAGCCTCATTCCTTACTAAATGCTTACAAACTGCCTCTCGTATTTTTTCATGATGAACTTCAGTATTTGCAATACAATATGATATTGCCCTGAAGAAGCAGTTTCCATCTTTAGATATATACCCTTCACAAGAAAACTTTGATCAACAACATGGTCAGTAGAATAGGATTCTTCTGTGACAAGGTCAATGCCAAGTTCATAACAAAGAGATTGTTTCACTTCTTTCTTTACATCTTCTGACAAACTGAATTCTTTCTTTGATCTCTCATTTTCAGATGATAGGCAAAGCAAATCTTGTTGTTCTTCTAGAGTAGGCTTGTTGGCTTCATAATTAGCAGCTCCAACAACATTCACCTTTTCTATTGATGTGGAATCTGGATTGTTCATATGCATAAACTGTTCTATTGAACAATGCACCCCTGTTATTTCACAGTCAAGAACATCTGAACAACCCATTGATAATGCCAAGGACAAAATATGATCATTAACTTCTTGGACTGTTTCATACAGTATTCTTGTGCTTTTACCATTAGAGCTCATCATTCGCTGTAAAGACCTGGAGTGCCAGTCAAATGTAAAGAACCCATCCTCATACTTTCCAATCAAAAATGCATTTCCTCCAAAGCAAACAAAACATCCATCTGTGTCTGCAAGTGATAACTGTAGTGCATCATGAAGTGTATGTGCATTAAATTCATCAAAACATATGTCTTTATTTGATAAATTTATTATGCTTGCAAAAGACTCATTTGGTTCAAATCTAAACAGAGTATCGAAGCACTCAAAATATTGGGGCAACTCGGTAACAAGCAAATATCTACCTCCAATGTAGGAGCTACCCTGCAAAAATGTATACATTTCATCTCCAGTTGCAAGTACCTTGTTCATATCTGTTGTTTTCCAGAACTGTACACTTCTAATCCTATGATATGCAATAGCAGATAAACAATTTGAAACACACTGTGTCCCTGCATTTTCACCAAACATGATGTCTCCTTGGTGATATGAACCTTGAACTGCCTTCATACTGACTGAATGCTGTTGGGATCTTTCACTTACATTTGTAGTTTCCTTACTTTTAATTTTTGCTGGCATATTTTGTTGTACATGATTTTTTAGGTTCTGATTATTCTCTTTTTTCTTGTTTTCTTGCATCTCTTGCTTCTGAATGTTTTGCTCTGTTTTATCAAATACACTGTTCTGTTTCACAACATTTCTGTTCAACATTTCATTTTCTGTCCTTTCATATATCTTAATACTTTCTTTATAGTCCTCATCTTTTTTAATCCTGCTGGTACCTCCTTCACTGGAGGTAGCCAGCTGCGTCTGACCTGCTGAGCTAGGCTTGAAGCCATCATCATGCTCAGGTACTCTCGCTGGAGTACAAACCCACGCTGGGGAGTCAGGGGTCGGTGCCATGCCTCCGTTTTGGGCATCCAGACGGCTTCCCCGAGGAGATGTCAACCTCGGGGCATTTGAGTGCATTTTCACTCGAGGTGAGGCCTGCACCCTGGCCAAGGGTTTTCCCTCAAAAGGCGGTAACCCTATAAAACCTTGCCCCAGAAAGTTACTGGGAGAAGCTGAATCAGCTCCATCAACTACCACACAAGGGTACGAAGATTCTAATGACTGCTTATTTGCTGGCATGTCAGAAAAGGACTTTGATGCATCAGCTCTTTCTTGTCTCTTTCTTAATTTGTCCTTCTGGCGTTTTGCTCTGCCATCAATTTTCTTTCTCTTTGGCATCTATAAAACAATTAAGGAATAAATTTATTTATAGCATTACTGAAAATGGGTACTGGTATTGTTTTTATTTTTTAATTAAGCTTTGAACTATATTTTTTATAGAAAAATTTGTGAAAACAGGTGTACCACATTTAAGCACATTATTAAAATTTTTCACACGTTTCAGTCATGAGACTACTTCTCTCAAACTTTGGCCATACTAGTCTTATCAGATTTCCCCCCTTGTTATACTTATCATGATCCAGGGGGTGTCATAGTCATGATTTGATAATCAGCAGTATTCCATGATGCTTCCACAGCAGCTTTAGCTTTTCCAATGTAGTGGTTCTTAAGAAGAGTTTTAAATGTCACCACCCTATTTTGTCTTTTCTTAATCATTTCCCCTTATAAGGGGGCTTGGCTCTTAATTTAAATACTTTAAAATCCCCATCACCTAAAAATACGCTGTACCAAGTTTTGTTAAAATTTGCTCAGTGGTTCTTCAGAAGAAAAATGTTTACAGATGGATGGACAGGCAGATGGATGACGGAAAATGGGTGATCAGAAAAATATGGGCATAAGAACTATGGATATGCACCTGGGAGCTATGACCCCAAATATTTTCACCAAATATGGTATACAGTAAGACTCATTTAGTACGAACACAGATACAGCGAGTTCATGGATATTGGGAAGTTACTCAGTGTCCGCAGCAAAATTATAAACAATTCTTTGTAAAATTTTACAGTTTCAACGAACTCTGATATGTAAAATTACAAATATAGCAAACCCATTTTGAGTCCCGTAGAGGTAAAAAATAATATTACTTACATCTTTTAAAACAATTTTTCAAAAATCACAAAGGAAGATATATTGAACTGACTTTATTTTTATGAAGTATTTATGAATGAATTTCAATTTATAATGACAGTTCACGGTAGCTCAGTCGGTAGAGCTCTCGCTCCGTGATTAGGAGGTCATGAGTTTGTATCTACACCACGACTGACCTAGTCGATAAAATGGGTAGCAACTGTTCCTTCGCCATGCGCTCGGCACTTTGAAGAGAAAGTTGCGGGTCCTTCGGATGAGACCTTGATAACCGAGGCCCCGTGTTAGCAGCGGGCGTTGGCACGATCAAGTTCCCTCACTGCTCAATGGCCCTGAGTGCCGAGTGAAGGTCAAAATTTGAAGCCGTTCACTGGCATACGGTGAGTCTCCATATGAGTGAAAAATTCTCGAGAGGGACGTTAAACAATATACAATCTATCAATTTATAATGCA